GGACTTCAACTCCCAGAATCCCCCAGCCAGCACAGCTGTGCTGGCTGGGGGATTCTGGGAGTTGAAGTCCCCAGGACTTAAAAGTCACCAAGGTTGAGAAACACTGATCTAGACCATTGAGCATGAACCTCCTGTGAGTTCCATGTGTATCTGTATAGAACTTATTATAGCCTTATATGCTAACTGCCTGAAAAATACATATAAGACACACTGTGTCTTCTGGGACTCAAGAGCCGTATTAAGTGTAAAAGCATATGGATCTTTACACTTTTATTCACACACAAATGTTAGTCTCTCTTCCATTCATACTTCACCTAAACATCCAATTCAGTGTTTCAACTTTCACTTTATCTCCCCTGACCTCCCATTGGGTCCTTTCTTCTTTTCCCAACTTTGTGATAAACCCTTTGAAAAGCAGATTGTGTTTTAAAATGTACTATGGGCAGTTATTTATAACGTACATTCTTGGGTCTACTATCTTAACTTGGGCTATATAACATTCGTTCTGACACTGAACTGCTTCAGAGATAGATAGAACTCATAAGCTGCACTAGGGTGATTTTATAAAAGCATTGTCATTACCATTTAGTTGAACCATTTCTGGCTCATGATAAAGTACACAGCATTAGTGAAATCTCTTCTGGCAGGAGAAAAAACACACATGGTTCTGAGTTTGGTAGCACAGAATAAATGGGGTTACGCTAAGAGATAAGCTAAATTTGAAAACCAAAGCAAGATTTTGCAACTCAACTGAAAGATATCTATTCCTCTTTATCTGAGACACCCAAATACATGGTATGATGGTGGCAAGAAATCTACAGAAAAAAGAATCTCCCAAACCACTTACTGTAAAATAATTAAAGCTTATTTATGTCAAGAGGCCTTGGGAAAAAAAAGAGAGCATAAACCAATTTGCATTAGCACTTTCCAGCATCCCCTGCTTTCATTTCAATTAACGGATCAGCAGGTGTACTTTGCAGTTAAAAAGATAAGCTATCAAGGAAGAGGATGGTTTTTTAGGCTGACCTGCAGACAACGGAGCTTGCCTGCTGATTGGGCTCGTCTCTCCCTTTACCAATTTCTGAAGTGTTAAATTAACTGTTCTCCTCTGTCAATGCAGGTCTCGGCCTTGAAAAGCCAACTGAAGAAGCAGTCCACCGCCACCGGGGACGGAGTAGCCAGGGCGTTCCTCAGAGCTCAGGTGGCCTTGTTTGGTTCCTACAGAGATGCACTAAGATACAAACCTGTAAGCTATCAACGTTTATCATTCAGGGGTCTGTTTTCTAATTCTGAAGAATGTTTGCGCATTTGAATTTTATCCATCTCGTGGCAGTTAGAAAGCTCCTGTGTTGTGCCATGTTATTTTTAGAAAGCAATATACAGTGATCAGATGAAGAAGAAAATATTTAATTATATCATGCATTTATTATTTTTATAAATGACTTAATTAAATGACTCGGGAGTATTAGTATGTTTGCCAACTTGAGTCATTTATAAATAGTCTTCCTCCTATTTTCCCCACCCTATAACCCTATGAGAGAGTCAGTGGCTCTCATACCCAAGGCCACTCACGTTCTCCTAGTTTCTCATTTGGTCTCTTAATCACTAAACCAAACTGGCTCTAAAGACACCAAATGCTTAATTTGCTCTTCATTTGTCTCACTTCTAATGTCCGTGGGTAAATCACTTGGAGAGTGTGGAGAGTACAGATTTTGGTTCTCAGGTTGCAGCAGTGAAGTTCAGGTAGTCAGAATTATGTCAGTGAATAAGCCAGAATTATTCCTAACATATATACTTCATTTATTTAGCTCCCCATTGTTGGATATTGTATTCATTTTTTTATTTTTATTTTCTATTATATTTTATTTTATTCACACAGCGACTGATTTAGTTTTTTTAATTAAGTGGGTAAATAGTCTATATTTACATGCGTGGTGCTAATATGAAACATTCTTTAAAATTATACATAAACACAGCTATTAAAAGCTCTTTTAGTTCATATATATGAATATTATATATTCATATATAAATATAAGCGATCCTGAAATTACCGTACTATCTTTCAGTAAAATGATGCTTTCTAAGTTGAATCTGTTACTTCATAATTTAGCACAGGACAAAAGTTACACTAATATAAAAGAAATGGTGGAATAGAATCATCAAAGTAAGGATACAAAAGCAGGGACAGAATGAAATGTGAATGGCAAAAAATAAAAATTAAATAGAATTGTTAAATTGTCCCACAAGGAATTATCTCATGGTGGGTTGTCTGTGGTGAGCTGTCTGTGGCCAGGTGTCCCATTTCCTCTACTCAAACATGATGGTATTTTAAAAGTATGTTAATTAAGTATATTAAAATCATATTTCTAATGTATGTAACATTTTACCCACCTTAAAAAAAATACAGCCTTTTGAGCTTGATTGTTAAAGTTTGTAAAGGCCCTTTAAGATTTCCTTAATTAGTTTCTCTTAATCTAAAAATTTATATTATCCCTTCTTGCATCATATCCTTGGACATTAATACTACAGGACATTAAATAACTGAAACAGAAGGTGGTACTCTTTTTGGCTTTGAAATTTCTCCAATTTTTCAAACTATAATTGCCAAGCCTTAGTATTATTTAAACAAAACTCTTGTTATTTTTTTTTCCAAGTTAAGTGGTGGGTGGTTTCCACCCTTGCTGAGATTCCAGTATCTTTTCTACGGCTTTATCTTTTTCTTGGCTTGGTTTCTGAAATGCTGCCAGATTTTTTAAAGTGAAGTATAAATCAAGTTAGTTGTTTATGTTCTTTATAATCTTTTAATGATATGGTTTTTGAGAAAGGTGATTTGTTTAGTGTATTACAGTATTTTTCTTCTTCCTGCTTTATCATGAAGAATTGCACGTTTATCGCACATAATTTTTCCCTTTCCAAAATATTTCACGTCAGCAACTGGATTTTAACTGCTCTTGTTTTCTTGATAGGTTTTGTACATAATAAATGTAGGGATACTTTTGCCATCATTTTTCGTCCACTAACTTTAACCTAAAGATAGGACTGTCATAAATAGGATTGGGATAACTCACTAAAGCAAAGACTTTACAAATGGGAAGTGTGAGATACATTGTCCAACTATTTTGCCTTACTAGAAGATTCTCAGAGAAGACCTCTTTTCCTTCCCCAACTTCTGTGACTGGCAGAAAATCTTCCTAGTCGGACAGAGGCTTTCACTATTCTGGCATTAAATTTCTTTTAAAAGTTATCCTTGTGACAAAGGAACAATTGAAAATGTTTTGCTGCTGCACTGTACAATTTATGAAGATTCATAGTGTGTTTTACAATTTATGAAGATTCATAGTGTGTTTTACAATTTAAGTAAATTGCAAGGGCATTCAAAGCCATTCGAAATGCAGCTATTATAAGTTGACTAATATGACAGTTTCTTTGAATATGGGCAAATTCTGTTTTACTCTTTGAGCAATTTGCTGTAATTATGTTTTTTAAAATTCCTTTTATTTTGTGTATTTTAAACTTTTGGTTTTAATGGAACTCTGACCAGTGAGAACAAAGTTTGTAGTGTATGTGTTACTGTAAAATGGCCTTTAAATCTTACTAAATTTCTTTGTGAAATGCCCTTAAAGAATACCAGTTGCAACCATTTGACTATGGTATGTTAGTCAAAGGCCAAAACTCATAAGTAAGCTAATTAATAAAATGATTATTATAAACCACGTTCTAATTGTGAATAAAAAGAATCATAATACATACTGTTATCTTTTTAAAGCAAAGATCTCTACTGAGCCAGCTTTGCGTTTGCTTTTAATTTTATAATTATAGGATTTAGCTTATTTTATGTCCATGATAATGATTTACTCTGAACTTGTGTGTCAAAAGTTATTTACAATTATATTAAGGAGCTAGTTTAAAATGTGGATGGAGCTTAAAAGGAATGTGTCCCGCTGTGCCTGCTAGCCCATGAAAAGGAGATGGGGATGTACAGAGTTCTGTGATAACTGTTATCAAGTGGACAGATATATTGTCTGGCCAAAAAGGAAAAGAAAATCAGTCTGATATTAAAAATATTAGCAGTCAGCTCTTCAGTGCAGAATTCCCAATAGACTTTGATCAAAATATACTTTGAGAGTATGTTGGAAATAGGCAGTTACAGGAGATGATTATGAAATGTATCCGAAACACCATAATTGGATCTCTTCTTTTCCAAAGGAGATGAATCCCCTAATCTGTTTCTAAGTATAGGGGTTATGTAGCCATAGCCCAAGATGATATAATGGTTTCAAGGCCTGTGCAATTTTTCTGGTTCACATATGCCAAAAGGATCTGAGTGTAAGATGCAGGGAATGAGTTGTGATCTATTGAATTCCTATCCCTGGCAATGTCAGGTATCCAGCGGTCCAATTGTTTCCCCTCTCTCTTGTATTTACTTGCATTTCTGATCCCAAAAGCTGCATATCGAATCAAAATGATTTGCCGTTATCAGTAATCCAAATAGACCATAAAAGGTCAACTTGATTATGAAATAGTTAATCCTAATCAGATTTCTTAGCAAGTTTTGTACAGACACTCCTAGAATAATCCTCTTTTAGGTATTTGCATTTTAGCACTAGGATCAAGAATTAAGAAAAGATCCATCAAGGAGTAGGAAGGACACATTGTGGAAGACCCTTACAGGGGCATTTCTTTTTTATATATATACTATAGTGCCAAAAAAGTGTAGACCAAAATGTAGACTAAAAGCCAATGTATGTAACACGTACAATATGTTTAGGAAAAGTGCATTGAGAAAGGATTTGACGGTTACAGTATGACAAATTGCCATGATATTAATAGTTTGTAAATGTTCGTTTGTACATAATCTTGGCTTTTTTCTTGGAGATGTCTATGCGGGGATAAGAAAGGAGAACCCTAGTCTTTAAACATAGGACTTTATGCAAGTGCCTAACTTGTAACATCTTTGAATTACTTTTAACTGTTTTAAGTTACATCTGGTTTTAGTCTCTATGACTCATCTCAAACAGATCTCCATACAGAGTCAATTAATTACTTGAGTTTCTGGGATATTGAAGTAATACAGTTTCCAATGATGGAAGGATTTAGAGGAGGTACTAGGTATGCACTCGTATCTAGCCTGTTTCAAAGTAGTTCAAAGACGTTTCTGTTAAAATAGCCATTTCCATTTCTTAAAATTATTCATGTTATCTGTTAATTTCCCATCCACCAGAACCCGAGGTGGCCCTTACTTTACTTTTGAAGTTTCAGGGGTTGTGTAAACATTAGAGGCCTAAAATAATTCTGTCTTTCATTTCAGTTTCAAAAAGTTTCATTCAATTATTTTCATAAAGAATTCCAGCAAATCATTTGTACTGTAGCAATATACATCAGATATTAACAGCCCATAATTAATACAGATTTACTGTAAGGTGATTGATACATAAAACCCTAACGTATTCTGAATTATCTTTGCCGTTTAATAGTTTGGAATTAAAGAATACTGTATTATTTTTAATACATAAAGTACAAATAGGAAGGCTGAGTTTTTAATTCTAAGAGAATTGTCCAGTGCAATTTTTCTCATGCTAGTCTTAGTGAAACGTAATCGAGGATTGTCATAAACTTGTTTCTACTTGACTGGTACAAAAGTATTCTGATAGTTTTTATTCAAATTATTATAGCAGTAGTAGTAACTTAAAGTCTTGGTGGGGGGGACTTCAAATATATAATTTTACATTTGTGGTGTTAGAAAATCACTTTAAACAACCCTTTAAGCTTTGCCTCGATTCTTATTGTGGTTTGGTTTCTTTCTGGAATGTGGGCACCCAACTTAAATATTTTGAACCCCATTTTTAAGCCATGAATAATACAGTTTTGTTTAGCTTGGTGACTTAAAAATAAATAAACCTTAACTGGAGTCTTTTGAAAGTATTTACTATGGTACTATTTATATAAATTATTTGGGGAATATTCAACATTTCTGAATAATTAAATTAGCGAAATGTGAATGCATCCAGCAGAGAATTAAACAGATATGAGGATTTTATGGAAAATCCATAGTTAATTTGCATAATCAAAATTTAAATAATCTATTCTGGATTATTGGGCACACTATATTTTGTTACAGAATCACAAGAAAAAAAGATCCACAGGGTCACATGAAGCAACTTGTGGCTGTAAAAATGTGCTTTTTTTTTTTTAGTTTTTCAGTATTTCTGATATATTCCCCAAACCATAAAAACAAGAATCTTTACTTGCAGAAAAGATGAATTTTTAATTGAAGTAATGGAATTTTTTTTAAATAATTAAAATGGATGTTAATTATTTCTAACCTGTTTTGTGCCCATAATTAGCTATTGATTGACTGTTCTTTTCTGAGCTACTTCAGGCATGACTGATAATGATTTTAAAATCTTACTGTTTACAAAATAATGCATTTTGGGCATTTGGTTTTCCTTACATTTAAAACACAGTAGTATTCTGTGTATGTATCATAGGGAATCTATTTTTAGTATGAAAAAAAAAGTTAAATTTACCAGGTTTAAAAATATTGCTTGCGAGTACTGCTATATGCAAAATAATTGGTGTACTGCAAAGAAATATTAAATAGAACTGTTTATAAAAATGTATATTTCTTATCTTTTTCAAAATTAGGGAGAGCCTATCGTTTTCTGTGAGGAAAGCTTTCTCAAGCATCGTTCCAGTTCTACTAAACATTTTCTGGAAACTGCGGCAAATCTCCAACTTTTTAAACAGGTATTTCTAAGATTTTTGATCTAATACTATTCTAATGCATGGAGCATATGCGTATTCAAGGACAGAGAAATGGATACAACATCAGTAGCAGTTTCTGAATTTTGATTCGAGTTGTAAAGGATTTTTATGATCTTAGGAGAAACCAGAATATAGCCAGGATAAATTCTTGTACATTTCTATTATAATCCCAAAAGGTTATTTCTAGTGACAACTCTTTGAGGTAATAAGAAATAAACCTGCTTCAATTAAAAGGTCTTGGGTTTCTTCTAATATATTTAACTGTATTTCTATTTGGAGTCATCCCTATTCTCCTGTGAGCATCCAAAATCTGTCTTGGCAGATTTTCTAATCCTCTAGAATAGATTTGGCAGATATGTGGGAAAGTATTAATAAATGGTTCTGAAACAGGTAAAATTCAGCCAATCATAATTTTAAGCCATTATTCAATGAATAGCTGTTTTTTTATATAAAAAGTTTTGGCTAAATATGTACATTTAATCCTGATTATTACTAATAAAAATAAGAAGTCCAATTTTCAAATGTCTGCTAGCTTCCAGATGGTCTCTTAAACAGCTCCCTTCAGGACTAGGGGATTTGCTGGGTGAGGTGGGTATGATGCAAACATATATGGAGAATAGAAGTGGGAGTCTACTCCCAGCTCCTTGATGCTCATACTTGTAGTCATGGATAATATAATTATCTTGGCATTATTTTAAGAGGCTTTCTTATGGATGAACACATTGCTGTCAGGGTAATACAATAAATAACTAAATAAACAAAACAAAATAGTACTTTTATCTTTATTGACTTCTACTTTCTTTAAAATGGAAAACCAATTTAGTAGGACCATACCATTCAGGCATATTTCCAGTTGTTGCTGTTTTTTCAGATGTTACAGCTAAATCTTAGTTTGACATTAATTGCCCAGAAGGACACGTCTTTTAAATTATACATGTCTTTCCCATTACACAGAGGGGAAAGTTAGAAGCTTTTTTAGTACTCTGATGTATCACGTTGAGGGGAATTTCTGTTTGTCATATCTTATGATCCTGGGTGATTTTCAAACATTTTTTTAAAAACTAAACCTGCCTCTAGTTCAGATGTTACGAGGAATCTCTGTTCTTTAGAAGTGGGTCCTTTCTTATCTCTCCGTTGTAGTCGTAGCAGAGCAGAGGAAGGGGTGAAAGGGCAGGGTTTCAGAACTGTTTTGTCTGATGAACCTCAAAAGCTAGAAATCAAATTGTGTATCTGGAATTGAGAAAAAAGAACCGTAGTTTTGAACTGTCTTGATATATACAGGCTTTGGAAGGGCTCCTTCAATTGTAGGTATTAGCTGCCATATGCCGTTGATTGATGGCAGAAGATGAGTTTCTCTGCTGGCCTGTTGGAAACCATTGTTGGATGAAGAGAACAAAATGATAAAAGTAGGAACAGTCCAGTGGTGGGTTTCAAAAATTGTTGGAACCTACTCTGTGGGTGTGGCCTCCTTTGTGGGAGTGGCTTGCCACCCATGTGACCAGATATAAAATTATGAATTAGTACTTAGGTTGGTCCAAGTAACTATTCAGAAACTCTGGCATTGAAGCATGCAAGTCTTAAAGCTGTCAAGTTACAAGATCCTTGCCAGTGGTGGGTTTCAAAAATTGTTGGAACCTCTTCTGTAGGTGTGGCCTGCTTTCCGGGTCCACTGGTGGAACCTCCTCTAACCGGTTCAGTAGATTTGACGAACCAGTTCTACCGAATAGGTGCAAACTGATAGGAACCCACCTCTGGAACAGTCCTAAAAGCTTATTCTAAGCATTGGATAAACATTGCAGTCCAAGCTCCAGCACAAAATAGAAAACATTTTCTCTGATTAAAACAGCCAGAACCTTAGGTACACACACACACACACACACAAACACAAACACACAAACACACATACACCATGTTTAACTAACCTTCTGGCTCTCTTTGAAGATATAGTGCAAAACAGATAAGTGAAATTCACATGGTACTAGGTAATTTTCATTTTAAGAAAAGTTTTTGTTCTTGGAATTTAATGATTGGTATAGAGATTTATGGCAGTAGAAGTGAAAAGTGCAGTTTCTAATTGGAAAGAATTCCAATAAGGGAAAGAAATGTTTTGAAACTATTTCATGCCATTTTAGTATTTCATATAATTCCTCCTCCTTGTCTTCCCAGCTGCATCTGATCCAAGACCTGTTTGTCATTAGGCATTTTTCAAGGTTACTGGAGCCGAAAGAGATTTGATTTTAAAGTGTTGCTTTAGGTTCAGTGGCAAATACTGTTTTTTAAACAGAAAAGAGGTTCAAAGAGAGAGGCAGATGGATGGATGGTATATGTGAAACAGCAGCAGGGCAAACATTTGCATTATTGTAATTCTGAAACATTTGTTTTGGAAAGTGAAATCTTAGTAATCACACAAAGAGGAAGCAAAAGCAGTGTGTAAAAAGTATGCATTACATATTGCACTATAAATTTCTAACATACACACAGCGTCAAGATGCTTACTTAGATTTGTTAGTTGAATATAAAATGCCTCAAATAGAATTGGTTGATAATTGAAATGGAGTATCACACACAAATACGTATTTCACTAGTTTCAGACATCTTTGAATGATTCACCATATACTGTATATATGTAATTTCTCTAAAGCCTTGAATGTATATACTTCTAATAATAGCTATTTTGGATAAGTACAAAACTAAACTGATCAATAATTTAGTGACCTAAGAAAAGGGTTAACTCTTTAAACTTTGGGGAATGTGTTTTACTGATGGCGTGATACTTGTGTGCATGGCTGCATTCTGCTAAGTCTAACAACAGAAAATGATTTTCTCTGGAAGTAGAGAAAACTGCTTTATCTGATTTGGAATAGAAAACATGATGTGTGTATGAAAAATGGATGAAATCCTTACCTGGATATATTGTTAAGAGCAGAACATTGACCAAGTTTTTGCACCTCTATTAAATTTTTATAAGCCCCTGTGCTATGAATTGTTCAAGATAAAATCACCGAAGCACTTCCAGTCTGGTCAAAACTAAAATATGACCTGATTTGACACATACATTAATTTTATTATTAATAACTCTCTTATTCTTTAGGCAGTGCTCTGAATTGCTAATAGGACATATTTGTGTCTTTTATACAATACCCAATAAATAGGTATATAATGTTGAAGCAAAGATATATAAAATCTTATGTTACTTAAGGTGAGGAAAAAAAATAGGTGGAGGGGCAAGAGTATTGTTCTTTTTGTCTTGGTGAAAACTGACAAACCCATCAAACACAATTAATGATGCTGCTATTAATTTTTCATGAACTCCCAATTTGTATTAACATTTTGTATGTATAAGATTAGACCCAAAACAAATATCTCCTTTCAGTTCATGCTTAACACTCTGTTATCTGACGTTCATAAATCATGGGCCTGGTATGAGAGCAAGGAATGATTTCTTAACTCTCCCTGGATTGATAATGTTTTGTGGCTCAAAGAATGTTTTCTGCACAGTGATAGTTAAAGGTGCTTTATCTCACTCTTGCTGTGAAATAATCCAGTGATCCCTTACCGTGGTCTGACCATGAACCAACCCATTTGGAAAAGGGCCAGTTTAAGGCCGAGGGAGAAGAATGTTAGCTAAGAAGAAGAAGAAGAGGAAATAATCAGTGATAACATGTCCTTGGTTGCTACTGCTGAGTCTGCCTTTATCTATCGGCCTCTTAAAAATGTATTCATGGAACAGTTTGTTTCATGTCATCAGTCTATCCATTGACAAGCATCAGATTGTCACTGACAGGTCTGTTTGGATAATCTGTGATAGCATATGACAGCCAGCCAAATAATTAATTTTTATTGGCTCCTGTGTACCATTTCAGTTAGCAGCAATTTGGTATTCATGTTGGAAAATGTGCAGTCAGTCAGATGATTTCTTTGTTTATCTCATATTTTGGCTACCTAATCTTGGCAAGGAAGTATTACTCCTTGAAAGTATCCTAAAAATTCCAGTACTTTTGGAGGGTTGAGAAAGATTTTTTTTTTTAGCTTTATGAAAATGTAATGTAAATTGAGAGTTTTTACAACACGTTGTTATTGCATTGAAAACTATACTGAGATTCTGAGTGTCAATAATTTAAACTTGGCAGTTTTAATTCTTTTCAGATTATGTATAGCAGGTTTAAAGATGCTGGTGGGTGGAGAATTAGAAACTTGCTTCTTTTTTTAACATCAATGGAGATTGTGACCCCCCCTCCCCAAAACCCGTAATTTTGTGAATTCTGGTTCAAAAATTGCTATTGATTATATTTCAAATCATCCTTTCCCTTTCCAAATTCAGCTTTAGAACCAATGAAGAATAAAAGTAATAGTGAGGGGTGGATGGGCAGATGATTATGTAATGAAATGGAAGTAGATGTGACCTCTCTAAATATACAGTACTTTCTAATAAAATTTCATTTATACAGTTTTCTTAGCAAAGTTATTATATCTTTGATACAAACTTCATTGCAGTTTATCGAAGGTCGACTTGCAAAGCTAAATGCAGGAAGAGGATTCTCCGATATATTTGAAGAAGAAATCTCATCAGGAAGTGGAGGTAGTAGACATATGCTTTATTACTTCTTGACCACAGGAAGGTTTTGATTAGGACACTTAATGAATCTCATGAAATGGTGACATTATTCAAATTTGCACTATTTGAAGTTAATATTTCTATAGAAAATATAGTAATTGGTTCCAGCTCAAAGGAAATGGGCAATGATTTTTTTAATATATTTTATGTATGAATTATTAAAGTAAAGGATAAAAAGAATATACTTGTAATTTAAATGTATGGTTAATACAAAGTCACAGAGAAGTTATAGAAAGCAGTTTTTTTTTATAAAAACCACGTCTACCAGTGATTCAAGCATACCAACATCTCATTCTAATTCTAATGTTGCTATTGCCACATTCATATATTATAATTCAATTGCACCAAATTTTCATTCTAGGGTAATAGCAAGGCTCTTCTTTTTAAAACTTTCCCTCTTTTCTTCTGACAGAACTTTCCTTTTCTCCATTTTTCACACATGAAGATTAGCAGGATGTAAAACCCCAAACGCAAAAGCTTCAATTAAGTTTGTGCCAGCCTTTCATTAAGTGAATTTTGGGCCATATTAAACACAACCTGGTATCAATTTACAATTCTCACTAAATCAAATATCACATTATTCACACTAATCACAACCTACCATTTCTTTCATTTCTCCTGCATTGATTGAAATAGTGAAAAATGACAATACTTTTTAAATTGATTTTTAGCAATCTGACCGTAGATAGAGTTTTTGATTAAATAACTAAAATAGAAATACTATTCAGATTCCATGTTGCTAAATATCCAAAATCTTAAAAAGTATTCTTGATTGACATTTTTGATCCTTTTGTTTAGTACATGAACCAACTTTCGTATAAAATATGTGTTATATATGATTCTTACCAATATTTTATTAAATAGTTGTTTCTATTTCAAATAATTGCAGTTTTCATCATATATATCATAAAAGTTAAAGTAACTAATGTGATATTTGAGTAGTTATAATGAAATAATAATAATGAATAAAATAAACACTCATTATTCTTACGGATGAGTGGTGAAATTAGTCTATGATTGTAATAAGGTTTTATCTTTATGCCTGATGTGAAATTGCTCCTATTAATTAATGCCAATTCTCTTAATACCAAAAAGCACAACTGAGGCTTGATTTAAAATCTTCTTATTGAATTAAGTGTTTCTTAAAATTTATGTCTCTTTAATTGTACTTCTGTGTGTTCAGTATGTGTTGCTATGAAGGTTTATAAACTTCAACTTTATATGATATCATAAACATTGTTACGGCAAATTGATAAAACTGAATATAATGATTAATTTAAAATGAAAGACTTCAGACTTCCTTGTTCATCTCTTTTTCTCAAAACTACATGTACAACTTTTATACAAGTANTTGCATATATGTATTGCCTATTGTATTTCATAAAAACGATGAATTAGCGAAGGATACATGAGTTATAACCAAGGGTTTACCCATACGCACTTCTGGGAAAGAAATATGGATATTATGTTCTATTTTCAGAGTTCTCAAAGGGGGAGCAGAGGGTTGGACTAGAAGACCTCCAAGGTCCCTTCCAACTCTTATCATTCTAACAAAGTTTATATAAAGACCAGAAACCAGCCAACTGCAATGTTTATAATAAGTGAAGCCAACCAGAGATTCTATCAATACTTCAAATTATTTTAAGGCCAGAGGAGCTCTTCACAACGATTCAGCTACACAACTCTGGCTTTATTGTTTGTTTGTGAGGCAGGGAGAACAAGAGGGAGGAGAAAGGAGAGGGACAGGACCCACGCAGTTTGATCTGGAGAACCTCTGAGCATCAGGCTCGCTTGGGATACCGGTAGCGCCATCCTTAATCGTCCGCTGCCACTCTCGCTTTCTCCGCGAAGTCCCTCACCTTGGGAGCGAGCTTCGGGCCCCGCGCCTGTTCTGTGCACAGAGTAGAAACACCCGGCGCTCATTTGTCAGCACTTCTTTATTCCATCTGAAGCTGCCCACAATTCCCCGTTCGGTAGGCAAGAGAGGATCGCAATCGACAACTGCTACAGCTGTCTGGCCCGGGGTCACTTGAACATATTCCATCTCGTTCTGCTGGGAAAGCTTTGTTCTTTTTTTATATGCGCCGCCGTCAGAAATGCCTTCAACTTCTGTTTCTGTTGTTGCTTTCCTTTGCTTTTCTTTTTTCTTTCCCCATCTGTGCCTTGATCTTCTGGAGGCTTGTTGCAGAATTCAACAGAGGTGGGAGAAGGGAGGGGGGAAACAGGGGGGGAACTTAGTGTGACTCCAGTGGTCTCTATTTTGTTTGAATGGTGGTTTGGAAATAATATTTTTGGAGAGGAGGAAAAACCGTCAGCATAATCATTGGCTTATCAGTGATTAAAATCAGGTGTTCTGTCTACCTTAAAAAGGCAAAATGAACCTCCTTACTTCCAGAAGGATCTTGTCACCTTCACAAGCGCGGCCAAAGGGCATTTCTGGAGAGTCCTTTCAGATCTTATAAAGCCCGAGGAGATAACAATTGCTCAGCGAAGTTAAAGCTGTTACTGGATTGACTGAATGGGATTGGACAATGGTAGGGTTGAAGGAAGGGCGCCATGGAGAAGTCAAAATTTCTAGAAAGTTCAGAGACACAAAGAAGAACAGTAAATGAGGAAGAGGAGGAAAAGAAGGGAGGAGGGGGAGGAGGAGGAAGAGGAGGAGGAGGAGAAGAAGAAGAAGAAGAAGAAGAAGAAGAAGAAGAAGAAGAAGAAGAAGAAGAATAAGAAGAGGAAGAGGAGGAAGAGGAAGAGGAAGAGGAAGAAGAGGAAGAGGAAGAAGAAGAAGAAAGGATGAAGAGGACGAAGAAGAATTGTTTTCTTGCAGACACTTCATTACCCAACTAGGGAATATCATCAGTGCTAGAAGGCAGTGGGGCTTCCGAGGAGGAGGAGGAGGATATCCATTCAGTTGTGTCTGACCTTTGGCAGTTCTATGGGCCAAGAACTTGCACTGCTTCTTTGAGTGTTCCATGCTCTGGCACTTTGGTGTCACTTTGGCTGGTGTCCAGCTACCATGGCCTTTGGTGGCCTGGATTCCTTTTACTGCTAACTCTTCCAGACAGAATTGTCTTCTCCGGTGGATTCCCCTGCATGACGTGGCCAAAATAAGTGAGATGCAGTTTTGCAATTTCGCCTTCGTCGCTGGCCAAAACTATCTAGGATTCGTTTTGCTCTTCTCGTCAGATATGCCAAAGGTAAGGCGGCGCCTTATTCCAATTTAGAATATGGGTCCATTTAGTGCAGTTTTACTCATGGCACCGATTGGCGATGGCTCTTCAGGGTCTTTCTTCCCTTGTGTGGGAACATCTCTTGAAGCTGTCCAGATCAGGTGCCCTATTCTGGATCTAGTATTTAGTATTTAGTATTTATTAATATTTGTATGCCGCCCTTTTCCCCAAGGGGACTCAGGGCGGCTCACA